ACACCTAAAATTTCTAAAACTAATTTTACCATTCGTTATTTCTGCTCTCACACATATAATAAACTTTTCAATTACATCTTGTGTCTTTCCAAGTAGTTGGAAGATCTCGAATATCTTACCAATACCAAAAGTAAATTATCCAGAACTACCGCAAGATTTTCGACCAATAAGTATTCTGCCTGTTATATCTAAGGTATTTGAAAAGTATTTGGAGAGGCAATTAATATTCTACCTAAATGAAAATAAATTATCAACGGAAAATCAGTCTGGTTTCCGCGCACGTCACAGTTGCACTACAGCTATTTTAAAAATATTTGAAGATATTCGTCCTGCATATGACCAAAACCACTTAACAATCATGGCGCTGTTGGATTTTAGCAAGGCTTTTGATACAATTGAACATAAACTACTGCTGTTGAAATTTAAAAAAATGTTTGGTTTCAGCAGCTTTGCAATAAAACTTATGAAAAGTTATCTATCTGATCGTCTACAACAAGTACAGTGTGGGAAAAGAGTATCTGGCCTAAAACGTGTTACGTCTGGAGTACCTCAAGGTTCGATATTGGGTCCAAAACTATTTTGTATCTTTATAAACGACATAGTGCATTGCTGCCGCAATGTAACAATACATCTATATGCAGATGATACGCAAATATATTTATCGCGGCCCATCGGATTGTCAGAAGATCTAGTCTGTAGAATAAATGAAGATCTCTTACGTATATCTCACTGGGGGCGATCAAATAACCTACAGCTAAATACACTGAAAACCAAGGCTTTAGCCATATCTAAAGAAGAACATAACCTGAGTGGTCTTTCACCGATTATGCTTGATGGCGTTAATATAAAATTCGACCAGGTTGTGACTAATCTTGGTTTTAAGGTAAATGCAAGGATGAACTGTTCTGACCATATAAACTATTCGGTTTGTAAAATAAATATATAACGGGTTAAGGACATTATATCGCACTGCGTATTTATTACCAAAGGATGTAAAACTCAGATTAGTTAAGATGCTTATAGTTCCACAAATCACATATAGCGAGGTATTGTACTCCAAACTCGACCAAACATCAATGTTGAGAATGCAAAAAGCCTTAAATAATACAGCGCGGTTCATTTTTTCGAAACGGAAATATGAACACATCTCTGTTTATACTAGACAAATACTTGACAACACCCTAGAAAACTATCTTAAGATAAGAAACCTTGTCTTCATTCACAAGCTGATTTATACTGCAAAACCGGAGTACTTGTTTCAAAAGTTAAAATTTGGGAAATGTGAACGTGTGGTAAATATTATAATCCCTAGGTGTACGCATCTCGTTACCTCTCGAATGTTCTTTAGTAATGCTGTTCAGCTATGGAACTCTCTTCCACCAGCTGTTAAAATTATTAAGGATGCGAAACGCTTCAAGCAAACAATGCAAACTTTCTTCTCCTAATGGCTTCTCTAATCCTTTCTCTTTCTCCTACTTCCCCTTTTCTATGTCTTCTTTCTTTTCATTGCAACTAAAGCTCTACGTTTATAATAATATTGTAAATACTGTAATAAGGTTATTTTAGAATGTACTACGTATATATTACAGTCTACCATGAGTCGATGTACTTTAAGGGACATTAGTCTCACATGTACAAAAATGAATTAATAAATGAAATGAAATGAAATGAAATATATTAGAATTTTATAATGTATACAAAGTAACAAACAACAAACTGTTTTTATTTCATGGCATGGACAGAAACTTGGATTTTTTTATGAGCCATTCGGATATCTTGGCAGAAGGGTCCGCAAATACGCTCACCAAATCGCAAAGAAGAGAAGGTAAAACTTTAAAGCTAAGTGTACACGATAGAGAAAAAACGCGAGATTTAGGCAAAAATCTCGCTAGAGACGTGTAAACACTCAATAGAGCTTTACGAGAGACTCACCTACAAAGTCTTCGTGAGAGTTATTTAGCGAGACTTTTTCGCCGTGTACACAGTCCAACGCAGCTAGATCGAAAACTCTACGACAACTCTACGCTCTATTAAGCAAGCTAAATTGACTTTTTGCTCTACGGAGACGTATGGTAAAGTCTTGACAATAGTAGCGTTCTTTTACGCGATAGTTTGTACTATCACGTTTTGGTGTTTTTGTACCCAAAAACTTGTAATAAATGGGATTGAGAGCGCAAAGTGGCATTTCTTTTCGAGAAGTTGCTAGCTTTTACTGGGTAAATTTTTGCTAGTAAGAACTTGCAAGTGAGAAAAACAGTTGATCGCATGTTGCTGGGTGAAATTGAAACTAATAAAAGAAATGTTTATGAGGTTTTTATAGTTGAAATTGACAAAATAAACCTATTTAAATATAATATATATTGTTTCATTAGCAACTAGCTTCGAATAAACAACAAATTAATTAGCTGTTCGTAAAACTTGCAAATTCTTACTGGTTTTGCGTTCTTGTACTTTTGTCCTATGAGAGCGAATTCTCAGAAATTAAGTTACTGGAGAGTTATTGGCAAGTTACTGGATAATTTCTAAACGAACACATCTAATGAATTTCATTACAGATTGTAAAATTTTGAAATGGCTACAAGCAAGTTCAGATGCCATTTTTGCTCTCTCAATTCTCTCTCTTTTGCTGGTTTCTTGCAAGTTTTTGCGTACGAAAACGCATTCCAGTAAGAACCAGTAAAACTAGTACTGTATTTTACTGGGTAGTGCGTACGCGAACAGGGCTTATATTTTCTACATCTTGGCTTTGATATAAATACTTATACATATACAAACAACAAGCGTTGACAACAATTCGAGATAGAAAACTAACTCTAGGTGAGAGGTAACTATTTATTACCGTGTACACAGCTTGTAGAGTACGTGGTAGAGAAAAGTTGAGATTTCTCTATTTTGTCTCTAACTAGAGTGAATATCTCCTAGAGTTGCTCTACCGTGTAAACTTAATTGAGAGAGGAGATTTTTATTTCAATAAAACTCTAGAGAGATTTCTCTACCATGTACGCTTAGCTTAAGGCATTACATTATAAGTATTTTTCGTTAATTTTCTTTTAAAATATGGCTCATTCTACAACCAAAACCATATAAAATGTTACAATCTTTCTATAAAATTCGCAAAAACTAAAAAGATTTATAATGGAAGACATTTTGAATTTCCGGAAAAAAACTAAACAACGAAAACTTCTGAGACTAACTGTATGTGCGTTTATAATAAATATTTTTAATATTTCATAGGTACGATTGTAATTAAAAAACGGTTTGCAACTTCTGCCAACTTCAACGCAGCGGCTGCAGAATTCACCAAGCAACCAACGTCGAAGGCTGCAAAAATTTACGTCGATTCGTCTTCAGGTACTTAATTTATAAAAACTGCCCATAAGTTTATACATTGACAATGGTAACCCCAAAATAACCCCATTTGACTTGTAAATACGCTTTCGGATTCTTAACATTTATTTTTAAACTACTCCCATTTACAAGTCAGATTGGGTTCTTTTGGTACTATATTTGAATAATTAATTGAGTTTCCATATACATATGTATGCAATTATTATATTAATTTGTCCGGCACTAGGTATTTAATTTGTCATCATTTGTTTGTGCTTAACAGATTCACCTACTATTTTGGCGCAAATTTTGGAAAACCAAAAAACGATCCCCCTTATTCTAGAACCCGAATTTTCGTAATTTGTAATTCATAGCTACGCTACGAAAAACGAAAAATCCACATGCTGCAACCCTTGCGGAAACATGTGCAGCATTGCCAGCTGTCAGTTGTTTTTCGAAGACAGCTGAATGAAGGAAAACAAAGTGGAAAGGAATTAAAAAAAAAACACTCATGAAACGTTTATTTATAGTAAAATTGTTTGATTTTACATATTTTGGAGGAAACTATGGATTCTATTGCATTTGCAATTATAGCAGCGGAAGAAGGGTGCGCTATGGGAATGATTTCACAAAGATATGCGGAGTTGTCGGGCATAGTGACCATGGGCGCATCTATGTCAGCTTCTGGTTGAATTGTTGAACCACAAGCCAAAACTCCTCCTATGCTTGAAGAACTGGTTCCCAATCCAGTTAATGCAACAACAGATTTTTCCAAGCCATTGAAAACACGCACTTTGTTAGGTCCAGCACCTATTGCGCTTGATTCTGCCTTCGGCCGCGCTTAGGGATTATAACCCTTACTAAGTAGAATTCGCCTTTCTGTGTTGCCGGAGAAGAGGGACTTTTCCGCATGTCAAAGCTATACAACATTTCTTGTGCATATCACTCCGGCTACGCCATCCACAGTATATTTGCGCAGAACCCACATCGAAATTTGCAACAGTGCCGAATTTATTAATAAGCTAGTGGTCGGAAATTTGAAAATTTACTTTAAATAAAAGTTTAATCCTTTGGTTACACGTGTATGTTAAAGTATTTGGGATCGGGTTATACGTTTGGACACAATAACCGAAAATCATTATACAAATAACTAAACCGGACCCAAGTTTCTCTAAAAGGCATCAAAGATTCTTTTTTGCTTATTTATATAAATCAGTGGATAAAAATATACGTATGTGCGAAAGGCAAATTTATCTGTTTAAATGTACAACACTAATATTTCCTGCAAACACACATCGATTTACATATCGCACACCGTCTTCAAAAGAGTCACAACTCAAAATTTGGCATTTTTGAAATTATGCGCTAAAAATGTACACAGACCTTTTATTTAGCTTTCAGCAAAAGCTGGAGCAAATTTTTGTTATGATTTGTTAAAAAAAAACCTAAGGTAAAGACGTCCTTACCCATATGATTAACATGTGCTACGAAATAATTTTTTAGCATTTTCTGACGAACGTATTGTTTTGAGTTGTGACCCTTTTGAAGACGGTGTGCGATATTTTATCTCTCCTCCGACACAGAATTGTTTTCGTACAAAATTACGCGAAAAAGCTTACTTTTTCGTTTTTAGGCATGCCATTGTTACGAATTTCGAAAGTTCGAAAATACGATTCGGATTGCAGCATACTATTTCTACGATTCGTCGCAAATTCCGAATGCCAAAGAGTTGCAGAATAGGGGTGTATAATTGCTAACCAACAAAAGTTTGATGAGCGCCTTCAAAATTTGGAGAGGGCTTGTGACAAAAATGTAAGACTTGATTAATTTATACCGTATAATGTTGTAAATACATAAATGTATTCCAGACAATCGATAATACAACGCTAATGGTTAGCAAAGTGCTACGTTCGGTCGGTCGTCTGACAGGCGAACTTGAAGACGAGATGCAAATAGAGATACCTGCAACGTTGCCCTTGGCCAGTATTGACGCAGCTAAAGATGTCGAAGAAAAGCTGAAAAAACAGGAATACTTCGAATCAATGGTGACCGAGTTTATATTACATCCAAAAATCATTTTACTTTTTATTTAAATACTTTTTCAGAAAATCTACTTGGTCCAAATGAAAGGAAGCAACGGAACAATTATGGTGGAAGGAAGAAGAAGAGGGCGTTAACAAAATTGAAGCTAATTAACTAAGTTTTAAGCGGTAATAGATGTTTAATTGGTATCTAGTGTATATACTACTATTTACTTGTAAAGTTTCCTTTCAGAGGTTTTCGCAACTGAAGGTCGCCAGCAGTTCGAAAAGGTGTTAAGGAAAAGCGTTGAGTTGAGTCACAATCGCTTTCACCAAAAGAAAAAAATATATGTAAATGTTGTATAAATGTAAAGAAATAAATGTAAATGTTAGTGTAAGAAAATGAACCTACATATATATATATATATATATATATGTTAAATATACTATGCATACAATACAGAGTATATGGATCTATATATATAGAGTATAATATGAAGGGGTTAGAATCATAAGGGTCTAAGTGACATTTCTTGAAAATATAAGCTATACCCATATTTGCATAGTCAAATATAGTATTTATTTGGTGACAAAGAGTAAACATTCTTTGAATTAGTTAATTCTGCATTCATTTAGGCAAGAATCATTTCAAATGCATTTACCCAGAATTTACAATAAGTAATCAACTTTAACCTTAATTATCTCAATAACATATCAGATCTACTTAGATCCTTTTGATTCTAACCCCTTCATATAATCTATGTATGGTACATACATATACATCATGTGCAAAATGATAGGTACACGACATTTAGATTACATACATGTATATATATAATACTAGCTTATACCCGCGGGTTTCATCCCGCGCTTTTATACAAATATGAAAAATAACTTAAGGATGTTAGATTTTATTTCTGTGCCCATTTCGTTATAGCTCGTTATTTTTTAAGCGAGTTAAGGCCGTTTAAAACTATGAAATTATAAAATCTCGTCTGCGCGCTAGGCATACGAAAGATATCAATCCTTAAAATGTTTCCAGGTACACGACGCGTGAACGTGTAACCTTCTTGGAGGTGCCACGGTGAGTTCTAATATTTCCAACTCAAATTTAGGAACCTGGCCTTGATAAAATACCACTTCTCATTACTGTAGCAAATGCCTCAAGAGAGCTTTAGATTATAAGGCCGAACCCGGCTCTCCCTTTTCCATTTAATGAAATTTATTCTGTCAGTACGGCACTTATAAAATAAATCTCCATAACAAATTTAAAATACTTCGAGAGATTTTCTATCCTTCCAGAGATATGTATTAAGAAGTTTTTAGTATGTATGGGAGGCGACATGCCTCCTTTTTTAATAACTCACATTTTTTCCAAGAGCAATTGATACATTTTGTATACACAACTCCATACCAAGTTCCAGTATTCTTCCACAAACACTTCCAGGGATATGTGGCAAGAAAAAGTAAATTTGTACTGGAAGTGCCACGCCCCTTTTTCTTATAACCCTAATCTTCTTCCATGAATTTAGAATTGATTTTACATACCCCAGTACCAAGTCCCAGTACTCTACCATGAACACCTCTAGAGATGAGCAGTATAAAACAGTAAATTTGTACGGCAGGAACCATGTCCCCTTTTCGAATAACGCAAATTCTTCTCCATGAGTATGGCATTAATTTTGTATACACATCTCAGTGCCAAGTTCCAGTCCTCTGCAATAAACACTTCCAGAGATATGCAGCATAGAAAAATAAATTTGCATGGGAGTTGCCACACCACCTTTTCCAATAACTCTCATTTTTCTCCATGAGAATGGTATTAGTTTGACATACGTACATACATATGTATTTCCATACCAAGCTTGAGTACTTTACCCAAACATTTGAAGAGATATGCAATATGAAACTTTCAATCAGTATGGGAGGTGCTACGCCTCTTTTCCAAAAACGTCCATTTTTCTTGTGAGTATGAATATGATTTCACACAGTGTTGGCAAAATGTTAATCTGACTAACGATTAAAATGTTAATCGCGTTTGACGATTAAAATTAATTATTCGTTATCAACTGTACGATTAATGATTAAATTCTTTTAGTCGTTAATCGGTGTCTGCGATTACGATTAATTAATTTTAATCATTAATCGTCAAACCAATTAAAAATAAAATCTGATTAAGTTGTCTAGTTTGTCCGAATTTGAAACCAAACACCAGTTATAGTAATTATTTTGTATTTTACGCTTATAAGAAGCACATAATATAAAAAACAATTATAATTATTGTTATTAGTAATACATAAACTGGGAACTTTTACAAACCTAGTTTCTAAAACGTTTGTTGGTATAGAGCTTAATACAAATGCACACCAAATTGCCCAGATTGGGGAGGAAACCCAACTTTGCCACACCTGATTAACTTGCTTTGTGTGCACAGGAAAATTCCAGCATAAATTAATTAATCACCAAACCTACTTGATCAAATTAACAGTTAATGATAAAAACTTAATTTTTTTAATCGCGGTTACGATTAACTGTTTAACTGTTAACTGTTTAATCAGATTAAAGTTAATCATGATTAACTGTAAGCAGATTGAATTCAATCGAATTAACTAATTGATTAAAAAATCGATCGATTAATGCCAACATTGATTTCACATACAAATCTCTATACCAAGTTCCAGTTTTCTCCCACAAATACTTCCAAAGACATGTATGTAATATGAAAATTCCAATTTATATGGAAGGGGACTTGAGTTATCGGAATCACTTTCAGTATAACGCCATCTAACGTGTACCAAATTTCGTTCTGATTGGGAGACCGGTTAAGGAAGTAGCCTATATTTCAATTATACAATTCATCAATCAATTTCAATTTTATTATTGGGGTATTCGCAATGGCGTCGTTAGTGTCGTATTGTTGTATGTCGTAAACTTTAAGCGGTTAAACAAATATCTAAAGGACTTGAAACCACAACAAACTGTTTTTAAGGGCGTGAAAATTCATATCATGGGGAAATGAACTGAAGGTGGCGCATTCCCGAAACCGCTACTTTGGTTTTGCCGACTTTGACATTTATGGCAATACGTAAACAAACTTTTTGTTTAGAAACAAGTGCAAACGTATTGTGTACTTTCAAGGGAAAAATCGAAGTAATTCGTGCGTTCTGAAGTAAAAAAACGTTTTATTTGTAATAAAAACTTTATAAAAATGTCGTGTCGTGTGTTGAATTGCAGCAGCCGTAGGGGTAAAGCCCCCAAATGCAGTTTTTTTTGTTTCCCCGCGACGACGCCTTGGCCAGAAAGTGGGTAGAGTTCTGCCGTCAGGAGAAGCCATACAATTTAGACACCAGCGTAATATGCATGAAGTACTTTACGGACCACTTTTAAACACGACATGTTAAATTGAAAACGTTGAAATACCACAAATTACAAATTGAAATCGGAGGTAACCAAGCATCGACCACTTTCTACAGGAAAACATGCGCTGCGACAAGATATTATCACTTTTTCGGCACCTGCAATACAAACACAAAAATTCTAAACAGTTAATTAATAAGTCCTATTCTTTTGAACACATTTCAAGAGTGGTTGTATATTTTTTGTTAACGTTGTGCTTAATTTGCTATTTTCAAAGATGGCTTGAAAAATTGGTGAATCGAGAAGAAAACACGTTTTCTCACTGCAAATTCACAACTGTCAACTCATTGTTCTTCGCCATATTCTTTGTTTACCCGTTGCCACAAATGTCATTCTGCGGGAATGCGCAATCTTGTATTCTATCGTTCTTGAATTCATATGATTGCGAACTCCGTAAATATATTATTAAACATTCAATAGTACAAGAAATGTTCCTACAGAATTCCAGAAATGTTCCTTTAATAAGTAAAAAATCTGAATTTAAACTTTTTTATTATTTTAATAGTTTATAAGTAAAATAATACATGTATGTACATACATATATACATATAATAAATTTTGTACAATTGAAAATCAAATCAGATTTACTAAAATGAACACAAAATGTATTAATTCTAAATGCTCAAATAAGTATTTAATTAATTAAGTAAGTTAGTATTCTCAAATAAATTCTCAATAATAATAATAATTCTAAATTTCAATAAGAAATAAATAAAACATTTCAGCCACCGCTATCTTTCCAACTTCTAACGACTTTCATACTTTTGTTGTATATTCTTATTGGTACACCCCTACTCCCTCTCTCATAAAGATTTGAAGTCAATCCAACAACAATAATAAAACCGGCAGGCAAAAATGTAAATTAAGGCCAATGTTACAGTTTTGCACTCACTTTCAGTTTTGCATTTTACAGTTATCTTTTACTTAGTTGGAAGTCAGATAATTATTTCTGTATTGTAATTTATTCAAGAAGTGATTACCAGNGAAAAATCACCCAAAATATACTGCATATGTTCGCAAAGACTGGATGCAAAGCAAAAATTTGCTATTTTGAAATGACCTCCGCAATCCGCTGATATGAGTCTCGTCGAAAATTTACGAAATCAATTAAAACCGCAGCTTACTAACAGCCAGTTTCACCAAACTATTTAAGTGGAAATTAACTTTAATTCAATTTTGTATTTAATTCTCATTTAAATAATTATCAGCTTCAATAGACTATTTATTTAAGTGNTTTACTGCGGAAACGCGGGACCGTAGGAAAAGTGGCAAAAAATTATGGAGTTTGCCACGTGAAAATGCTAAGACTGAGAAAAAATATAGCCTAAAATGTTATTAAGGACAAAGTAAGTCGNACTGTAAACAAAGGATGAAATAAATGTCAACGAAAACACCAACAGTCGGTATGAACAGCCTTCAGCCCACAATACCAAAACTCGTTTTCAGGGTGTTTTCGTTGTCGGTCAGAACATGGTATTAGCATACGCATAAACGTAGTAACTGTTCTATCTGGGCAGCTAGCATATTAAAGATGATAAAAATATGACTTCCACTTCGATAAATATATTTAAAATACTAGTGAAGACACCGATTGGAATGAGTGGAACGTGAGTTTTTNAGGCAAAGAATTGTCAAATTGAACGCAAAGGCATAATAAAAGAAGAAAAAACCAATTGATCAAAATACATGCGAGAGAGTGGTATCATTTTGCCGGATCGCACGAAAACCGGACCGTTGCCTATTGGGATATGTTAGCCCTTACAGAATGCAATAAAAAAACACATTTTTAAGATTTAATTGAAGGTTAGTTGGTCTGACAAGACTAACAGCCAGTTTCACCAAATTATTTAAGTGAAAATTACTTTAATTTCGGTTTCACCAATCAATTTTAATTTTGATTTATGATTGATGACACTTAAATAAAAGTTAAATCAGAATAACCACACTCAGAGGTGTTACACGTTTAATCACCTGATCATTGTGTATCTGCTGCTTACTTGTATACGAGCCCTGCTTTTACAACACAGCGTGCCAAAGCTTTCAAAAGCTCTCAGTACAAATGAAAGCGAAAGCTAGTCCTAGTCTGCTTTACAACCACTTTTTACTCACTTAAATAAATAGTTTATTGAAACTGAAAATTATTTAAATGAGAATTAAATACAAAATTAAATT